ATCTTTGCCCTTCCTGTTGATCAAAAAACGATATTACCTTTGGCTGATGTTGACGATACAGGTCCTGTTATTGATAAAATTTTGAATAATCCAGATAAATTTGTTCATCAAAATATTTGCATATGTGGAGAGGAAATTCCATTTGAGGATTTAGCCAAAGTCTTTACCAAAGTAACTGGTATCCCAGCGATATCTAAAACACTAACGGAAGAAGAATTTCGATCTATACTCAGTCAAAAGCCGAAATTTATACAAGATGAATTACTGGATATGTATAAATTGTTGGAAGAATACAGTTGCTATGGGAGAAATAAAGATTGGACAACGNACTAATGCAGTTAAACACATTTGAACAATGGTTGAAAAAATCCGGATGGAAAGGTGAATAATCAATCATATTGATATTTTAAAAGAAGCTTGACTCAATTGAAATCTAATGGAATAAAATTTTTTTATTGAAATAAAACGCATTCTCAATGACTAATTTTTTAGTAAGACAACACATGTTTATCAATCTGATGGATTCAAAATAGAATTGCTCTAGGAAAAAATCAGATCTTAATTGAAGAAGTTTTCAAATCAATTTAATGTGTTGTCATTGTTTTTTCGTTGATTTCCTTTTCAACAAACCAACTTGTTGATGATGACTCTGAATCGATATTACTATTATTAGTCCTAGTGTTTCGTTTATTAATGTACACTCTAAAAAAATAGATATTCTCCAAAATCCTTAGAGAGTTCCCGAGACCTCGGAAACCCATAGTACCCATTATAGCTAAACCCAATTACCTCTTCAGAAACCCAACGAGAAGGTTTCGGAATGCCGGTAAAGCTTTACCAAACTAGACTAGACAAGAATCCATCACTTCTTAGCCACCAGCAACAAGGATTCACAGCGGCTACAGACTTTCAATGAGGCTCTGCTGCGAACCTATCCGTACCCAGAAATAACTAGAACAGTCATCAAAGGTCGGCAACACATTATATTTAGCAAAAAACTTTAGTTATCCAGACGCACTTCGTCGCACCATTACCAAACCATCACGAAGCTGAATATTGCGACCTTCTCCACCTAAAAAATGAAGAAACAAACCAAATTTACATAGAAAAATCATTCAAACTCACTCGTTTTCTTCACATCCAAGTCCATTGAAAGTAATAATCACCTATTTCATGTAAAACACAATTCAATCGAAATAGTTAATGAACGAATTTCGTAGCTCACCAAACGTTTCCCTACGACAATCATCTAAAAATAAAAATAAAATTATATTTTAATTTACTAAATTGAGTCGAACTCATCCGAACTTTTGAGAGAAAATGAGTCTAAGGATAAAAATAAAATTTGATTTGTGTACAATAATTTGAACAAAATTTTCACACCTACTAAGATATAAAACGAATCTGCAAAGAAAAATGAGGGTGGGTATGGGGTGTGGATGTGGGTGGGTGTCTGAGTGTGGATGTGAGTGTGGGTGTCGGTATGAGCGTTGTATTCTACCACATCCACACCCACACCCTTATGAATTGATGAAGAATATAAACAATTGGCTACAAATCGATCGATTTATTGGAATGTTAACACTCAACTTTGTACGAAAATCGAAAACATCATTCTTTGTCGGTGATGTGCAGAATTTTATTATGCATTTCAATATTTTGACTCAAGTTATTGAATTTTTTGCTTCTATAAAGGTAAATGCCAATTAAACACAGAACAATAATGAATGTCAATGGAACTATTGTCGCCAAGATTATTTTCGTTTGTTGATTTCCATTTGATCTTTCTGACGAAACATGAGTGCTTGTGATAATACTTTGTTCAGTCGATACAAGGGTACTTGAAGTGGTTAGTATCGTTATTGTTTGAACGCTAGTGGTTTGCGTCGTGGTGCTAAGAGAAGATAATGATATCGATTCGGTGAACGACAAAGTAGTTGTAGTATTTGAAAATAGTTCACAAAATAGATCTATACTTGTACATCGCCTACTTAATTCATCTACGACTGATTGATTGTATAGACAAATGGGACGATGTTCTGTGTCAAAGGAATATAGAAAACAATTACATGGATGATCAATATCAACAATTAAAGTTGTCTTATTCAAAATATCAACAATTGATTTTGTAAAACAATAATCATTATCAGTTAATCGAATACCATATAGAATTATACGAGGTCCTGGTGGATACTTCCAATTGATAGACGAATCTTCACTGTTAACATCAGTTTTTCGATAAAGCCAACTTTTTTTCGTCATATTGACTTCTGAAAGATCTAAATAAAATAATGTTTGAAGCTTTATAATGATAAACCAATTGATTTCGATCAAATTTGTACAATTCGAAAATGATAGATCTGAAATTGTTGATGAGATAGGATAGAGAAACGAGCTTGTTTGATTCTTAAAGAGTGATGTTTTGGATGATAATGATTCATTTGTTTCAAGCGATGAAAGTCGATTTCCAGCCAAATTTAAATAGTTGATTATCGTTCCATTGAATGTCATTGAATTGATACGCTCGATTTGATTATAACTTAAATCAACTGATTTAAGTTTATGTGCTTTTTCAAATATATTTTCATCCAATGTCTTTATTTGATTGCAGCATACTGTTACATTGTCTAAATTAGTCATATGTTTCAATGGATTCAAATTATGTAGAAAATTATTTGACAGAACAAGTAAACTTATTGATTCATTTAATGGATACAAAAACGATGTTGTTTGATTGTCAATTGTTAAAGTTTCAAGTGATGCTAGACGATTATTATCTAAATTTAATTCAGTTAAGCGCAATCCAACAAATGAATCTGGTTCGATGTTTCTTATTCGATTATTAGACAAGTCTAATCGCCATAAGCTAGCTATATTCTTGAATATATTTACTGTAATTTCTTCAATAAAATTATTCTTTAAATCAATTACTCTGAGTCGTTGAAAATTTTCCAATGAGGGTATTGTAATTAAATGATTAGATGTTAGATCTAAACCAGCAAGATCTGTCGAAAGACTTCCGATAAGAAGGCTAACATTTGTCAACGAACAATTGTTTACTGTTATGTCGATAATTTCAATTTTAGGCGATCCATCAGAAATAAATTCCATATTACCACAATTTCGTATGTTCATCTGATAGAATCGAGCACCATCCATCGACTTCAAATTCAATTGATATGGACGATTGTGTATATGACTGTATTGTATATTCTCGATATCTATTTCGTAGTATGCTTCTTGAGCAAATGCATAATCAGCAAGTTTGAAATTTTGTGGCGAAGTAAATGTTATCTCAATCGATGAATCGGAATATTCATGGAGTGATTGAAAAGCATTCTCGCCTATTTCGTCCATGCCATTAATGAATGTTAAAACGATCGATTGACCATGCAAATGAAATGTCGATGAAAAATTTGTAAAAGTTAAATATGTTAAGCGGATCAAATTAAAAAATGTGAATGAATTTTGATCATGATTTGCCGAAATAAATGGTGCCCAATCTACGAAACTTTCATTTGTTGTATTTTTTCCAAAACAAGAAACAAATGGCGTGTCTTCTTGACAATAACAAGTCAAAACTGAATTGTCCAAACAAACATTTTCTAATTTCGTCCAAGTGATGATTGAAATCAATTGAAGAATACAGAAAACAAAATTCAATGTCATCATCTGTATAATAATTTCTTTTTAGTAGAAACAAACCTTGACGATTGTAATATAAAAAGTATTGTTATCTCTACATGACCAACATAAAATCTGCTTGCAGTCACAGTCACAAAGATGAGTCATTCATACAGGTAGATAATATTCATTGCAATAGTTGCAAAGGTGCAAGTGTTACACTAACATGCCAGATTTTGCTCAAAGGTGCTGAAATAGTGCTGAGAAAGTGCCAAAGTGATGAAACACCCATAGAATTATGAAAAATAAGATAGAAATCGATGTTACAGCTAGAGGAGACTCATTTTATTCTAAACCGCTGTTTTCGATGAAGACAAGGCTATTTTTCGAAAATAACCATTTTTTATAGAACCTGACAAAAGGTTTTCCGAGTTGAACAACACGAATCTCTAAGCCTTTTTTCGAAATTCTTGAGTTCGATTTTTCGGTTAGGAAAGCCTATATTCTCCGGTTTATTCACATATCATAACATTCAGGTGTTCTTTTGCTGTAAACTACCTGTGATCGAAAAAATCGAAGCCAATAATTTCGACAAACTGATTAAAGATTTGAATTTCTCGACCCATAATACCTTTGATGTAGGTATGCACCAGTCTAATGTCGGCGCCAGAATTCAAGAGGGGTAGATATAAATTGAATAACTCAACAACGGCAAGAGCTACTGAGCTTTGGTTTTCACCAATCGAAAGAAGAGGAGTAGGCACGTCTTTTTTTCTGATAATGTATAAGACGAAATCTTTTTAAAACTAATCATATTCGAAAAACCTGAAAAAAAGAATCCATGAAATGACCTGGCAGCTAGACGAAATTTTGATTTTGACCTTTGATTTAGATAGAGAGACTTCAGATCTATAGCTCAAGATACAATGCAAATGGTTGTCTTATTATCTTCTAACGCTGAGCAAATGAAATCATGCACTTACATGCGCAAATAATAGGGAATTTTGCTGATTTTTTCGCAGTTTTCCCACTGTTTATCCTTGTAGCTTGAGATTTCGATGGAAATGTAAGAAAAATTAAGAAAGTGCATTGTGTCTTGAACTATAGATCTGAAGTCCCGCTATCTAAATCAAAGGTCAAAATCAAAATTTCGTCTAGCTGCCAGGTCATTTCATGAATTCTTTTTTAGGTTTTTCGAATATGATTAGTTTTAAAAAGATTTCGTCTTATACATTATCAGAAAAAAAGATGTGCCTACTCCTCTTCTTTCGATTGGTGAAAACCGCAGCTCAGTAGCTCTTGCCGTTGTTGAGTTATTCAATTTATATCCACCCCTCTTTAATTCTGGCGCCGACATTAGTTAACTAGGTTTATATATAATTATTATATGCTTATTAAATTATCGGTTACTTAGCGGTATCTGTATGAACTGAAGATCTATACTATAAGAGTACCCTATGTGCTCAAGGTCTATTAAACAAAGACATCCATAGATCATCAAGCGCTACTATATAGTCATACCCAAAGATCATCATCGATTATATTATGGTGGTACTCAGTCCGACTGGATATATTTATATGTATATGGCTGATCTATGATTTATTGAATAGTTTTCTTTGTGTTACTAAATTACAATTATTTAACTCAGGTATCTTTAAGCTAGCGAAAAAAGAGGGAGAAGAGAGAAATAGGAGCGAACAGAACAAGGGAACGGGGAAGGATGGGTTTTTTAGTTCATTGCTTTCTTCACTGTTGTAAGTGCGAGTTATAGTGCTGTTGGTGTAGTTTACAGGCTTTCAAGGGTTCTCTATTATTCTCTCCGAACAACTCAATGTTGTCTTCTAACAATACGGAAGAACGAGACATGACAGAGGAAGGATGGGCGTTTTTGAGTCATCATTTTTTCTACTACTATAAGAGCGAAACATAGTAATGCCAGCGTAGATGATAGGTTTTCAAGGATCTTCTATAATTTGCGGCGAACAACTTTATCTTTTGTCATTACCATAGTAGACAAGATGATGTTCCAAAAAATCGATCCTTTTCTTCGCGATCTCTCCCTTATCACGTTCTCTCTATTATTTGAAGACAATATTGGTTTGTTCGAGGCGAATTGTAGAGGATCCTTGAAAATCTATCATCTACACCGGCAACACTATGCATTGCACTTACAATAATGGAGGAAGCTATGACCCAAAAATCTCGTTCTTCGCGTCTCTGTCCCCAGGGTATGGCTATGGGTGTGCGTGTGGATCTTTTTTTACTATACCCACATCCACACACTCACATTCACACCCTATTTCTTCCATTTGATACTGTTGTTGGATGTAAATATAAATCTTTTAGTAATATATTTATTATATGGTCAGATGAATAATTTACTTTCTGTTTGAATTCTATGATATTCTATTGAATAGTAATCTTGAAAAATTATCAAACGAACTTTTCTTTTTTATTCTTTCAAATATGAGACAAACTGAAACTGTTCATACCTTTTTGGACTCAAATGACGTCTTAATTAATATGTGATGATGGTGACGCATCTACAATCTTACAATCATTGTTTTCAATGTTTATTGATAACGAGGAGAATATGAATATGACTGAAGAATTATAAACAATTTCAAAATAATTGATGACTTGATGATTATTGACCATCAGTTCTTGTTTCTCTTTACTACATTTTTTAATTTTATTGATTGATCTAAATATATGACTGTTGAATAAAGAACATTTTGATTGCTTTCATTTATAGTTTTATTTGATTAATACAACAACACTGAATTCATATTTATCTTGTGTTAAATATTTGAGCATTAATTGGTTATTACCAATGTCGAATATTAGAGAATAGTATTTGCCTAGAATGAATAATGTCGATAAATCACAGTTAGACGAACAACTTTATGTATTACATACGAATGATTCAAAAGCGTATTTAACGTATCATTATTAAGTGTCGCTTTTTTATAAAGATTTTCGCAAAAGCTATGCGCATTAAAAGAAAAGCAGTGTTCTGATTTTCTAGAAAGATGTCTTCAGAAAAAGGGTGTGGGTGTGGGTGTGGGTGTGAGTGTGGGTGTGGGCGGATAAATCTCTACCTACACTCACACCCACACCCACACCCACCCTCATGTTTATCAATATCAAACTCGTTATTTATTCACCACCGAACATTATAATGAACTTCAATCAGCTCAACCTCAATTTCGTTCATCTTCTCATTACAATCGTCATCGTCAACCTTAAATTTGATCATATCATTCATTCCCTCGCTCCTACGATTTTTTCATTTCATTTTCGAATTCCATTCAACAACAAATTTTTCTGATTTTTCGTTTCCAACCGCTGCTTGCTCATTCCTTTCTCATACTTTCGTTATCTATAACTCTATAAATGCAACGTTCGCCCGCTAATACATACATTATACATTTCCATCATTTAAATTTCACTGTTAACTGTCTCGTGTCATGCCTCAACTGTTATTTTCCATTCTTCTGGTTTTCACCATGCATTACTGTTGTATATCATTTCCTCTCATTGGTGATGAATGCAAAGTTCACATCGATAATCGTCACTTGGAATTGAAAGAACTAATCGGTAGTCAAACAAAATTTGATTGGAATAACTGGTCACATCTCAGTTCAATCTTTATTTTGATATTATTATTTTTCTTATTACTCTTGGCTTACTGCTTTATCAAACTCAAAATCTGGCCCTTCATCAAGGGAACACATGCTAACCCCCCCCCCGCCCAAAAAAAATAGACGGCCACCCTATATTAGAAGGTCACCCCCTGTATAAGGCCATGTTCGGGAAAAAGTTCAAACGCCCTATTAGAAGGCCATGGCTTTCTAATAAGTCTGCAACTTCTCAGATTCAAATAGGATAGCCATATATGGGTGTGGGTGTGGGTGTGGGTGTGGGTGTGGGTGTGGGTGTGGGTGTGGGTGTGGGTGTGGGTGTGGGTGTGGGTGTGGGTGTGGGTGTGGGTGTGGGTGTGGGTGTGGGGGTGGGTGT